GTATGAAGAATCAGGAATTTGAAGTAAGGAAACGTAAGTAATGATAGTTAATTAAACTAGTATCTAGTTAGGCTTATCATTGATAATTATCTCCGAAAATAAGTAGTTCGGGAGTAGGACGTTATGGATTATGCATTTCACGCCATGTTATATATATACTTGAAAATACTATGTTATAGTTGAGTTTTAGATTGCATCATGACATATTTATATGTGTATTACCTGAACCTAATTATTGTGAATGCTTCAAAGTGCCAACTGATTTTACAGACGCCCAGGTAAGCTTCAGGTGAGTACATGTTGATGATAGTGATGGTGATGAGATATGTGATGAGATATGGATGATGAGATATTGATTGGCTAGCATGATGATGAGATATTGATTCAGCCGTACAGGTCATGTGGGTTGACTCCGACATCAATATTGATGAGATATGTGATGAGATATGGATGATGAGATATTGATTGGCTAGCATGTTGATGAGATATTGATTTAGCCGTACAGGTCACGTGAGGTGACTCCAGCTAGTATATTGAAGAGATATGTGATGAGATATTAATTGGCTAGCATGTTCATGAGATATTGATTCAGCCGTACAGGTCACGTGAGGTGACTCTAGCTAGTATATTGATGAGATATATGAGGAGATATAAATAAAGTCGTACATGTCACTATAAGTGACTCCGACTCATATGCTAGAAATGATGAATGAGATATATGAGGAGATATAAATAAAGTCGTATAGGTCACTATAAGTGACTCCGGCTTATATGCTAGCAATGATTAATGAGATACATGAAGAGATACGGATAAGTCGTACAAGTCACTAGAGGTGACTTCGACTTATAAGCTAGCATATGTGATGAATAGGTCATAAGCTAGCATATGTGATGAATATGTGATGAGCTAGCATATGTGATGAACATGTGATCAGCTAGCATATGTGATGAATATGCGATGAGCTAGCATATGTGATGAATATGCGATAAGCTAGCATATGCGATGAATATGCAATAAGCTAGCATATGCGATGAAATATATGATGAACTAGTATATGTGATGAGATATGGGTAAGTTGTATAGGTCACCATAGGTGACTCTGACTTGCGTACTAGTATGAGTTATTAATCACATGATTATTTGATATTGCTGACGAGATGTTGTCTTGTGGTATATTTATGATATTTTCTGGAAATTATACAGGTGTTGTAGCGAAGGGTTATAATGTTTTATATGGTTTCTATTAAAATTTTATTTATAGGGCCACTCACTTTTCTCTTGTCTTCACCCTCCAGGTTTTATTAGCTGAGCTTTCTTATCATCGAAGATTCGTGGCGATTCTTGGTATTGGAGATTATTTCGAGGGTACGATTCTTCATTCACTCTTCTGTACTTACTTATACTCTAACGTCACGTGTGAAGTGGGTTCATTCCTGATCACCGGTGCACTCTAGTATTCAAGCACTCTCAAGTTTAAATTTATTCACATTTTTCCACATCATCACACTTTATGGCTTCATCACCTTCCAGGTGTCGGCCAGCACAACTCGATTCGGAGTCCTAGTGAACATTCTGGGTCGGGGTGTGTCAAATAAAATAAAACATGATAGAGTACACCACATGTTCATGTGTGTTTATGTGCCAGACAATGTGCTTTGTGATGCATTGAAAAAAATTGTTTGAATTTCTTTGTATCTTGTTGCTTGCCTGTGAGGGAGCATAATCCTTATCACAAAAATGATAAAGCTTCAGATTGTAGTCTGTTGTTATTATTCTCTCAGAAAATTTATTGCTCGTGGGAATTGGGTTCATTAGACTTTAGGGTCATGAGTGAAAAAAAAATATATTTAAAATATGTGTTCATTTATTTATTTTTAATCAATATAACATATTAAAATAATAAAATTTTCATTTATGTCGGTTATAACCGCCAGAATACTAAAATAATAACTGCTAAAAAGTAAAATAATAAAATAATCAATTTATGTCGATTATTACCGCCACCATTAACTTAAAAACCGCCAGAATCTTCAAAAATATTTTTAAAAAATGATTCAAAAATACTCAATTATAACCAATAGTATTTTTTTGATATCTGCCATTAAATATCCGCCAGGACTTTATGTCGGATATAACCGACATGATTTTTCTAATATCTGCCACTAATTAAATGATGTGTCGGATATATTTTATCCGACAAAATTTTTCTAATATCCGCCACCATCATCCGCCACCTAAAGCTAATATTGTAGTAGTGTTGCATTGGATTCAGAATAATAATGGCTGTTTACTTTGAATTACATAGCAATTTGTTAAGTCCATTTAGATTATGATGAGAGTCCTTTTGGAAGTTTTAACATTTATGCTTTCCTTGTCTTTAATTTCTTTAAATTATGATGCCATAGGTTTGATTATGGCTAAAAAGAAAATTTAAACCATATTATTGTTAGCCCATTGTGAGGTTAAGCCCACCCCTTCTTCTTTACTAAAATAATATCGTTTGTTCAAAAAAAAATAAAAAATTATGTTGTAATACAAGCATTTGGGTAGACTTGATTAATGAAAAAATAGTTTATTTGCCTTGTGCATTTAAAGTGAGTGATTTCTTCTTCTCCAATCAAGCCTTTGGCTTGGTCGTGTGAGCTAATCCATTATCAACGACATCGAGCAAGCTTCGTTGTGCTTGGTTGAGTGATTCCTATGTTCTATTCCTTGTTTCTTCGAGACAACAACAATCTGTCATTAGGGATCTTTACTGTCCACTTTCTTATTTTGGACTAACTTTTGAGCTGGAGACTCTGTAATTGAAAGATACTTGTGCTTAGAGCCACGTTGGCTGTTAACTACAATGTTATGGAACATACATATAAGCAGCATGAAAGTAAATTCAGAAATATACGAAGAGTAAATATGAGTCTTTCACTTTTGAACTCAAAAAGGTTGCTTTAATCAACTAAGCAAATAGGGGTGAGAAAGATGTTTGTTCGTGGCGAAGATTTCTCTGTGGAAGGATCCTCAGACATCAGCACAGAGCTCAAGGGATTGGCACTTTAAATGTCTAGGGCTCTTGCTTGTTGATGTGCTATAAGAAGAGGACAAAGTTAGTTCTGAAAGGTGCCTTTGTGGGGCTTAGGTGTAGGCCTTGAGGCTCACAATCAAAACTAACTGAGTGCTAGGCGTGCCACTGCTATCTCAGTATAGCAGATGTAGAACAAGAGTGTTTTAAGTTGATTACTTACGCCCCAAGTTACTCGGACTTCTTGTTATCAAAGGATTATCGTGGATGGGTTAAGTCTACATTAAGTTCTTTTTCTTGCCTTGTAAACAAAGACTTTTAGTTCATAGTCTTATATGTTTGAATGAAGGGAGTCCAGATCATCTTAAGTCATTTGTTTGGACCTAGATTGCTTTTAATGATAATATGTCCATTAAACTAGCCGAATCCAGCTACAACTGAGACTCTTAAAGTAGGAAAACAGGTGAATATGACTTGAATACATAATGGAGAGTGCATTAAGTAATAGATCTACAAATAGAAAACAAACAAAGAGTTTCGGGCAAGATTTCACCTTGTTTGGCAAGGTTGAACCTTTTGCAATCACTTCTCTTTGAATTAACAGGGGTTTATATGCTAAAAAGGGATGGATAGTAAACAAGTTTACACATGGGAATGTTTACTATGCCACTAAGGGAGATAGCAGAGCTTTAAATTGGGAAAGAGATAGCTTGTTGCTAAAAAGGATTGAATCTAGGTTGATTTAAGCTTTTGGATGCAAATCTAGTTTGAGATCAGAGTTTGTATGTTTGTTTGTTTGATTGGTTGAGTGTCCTTATTTCTGGGGCCTCTTCCTCCTTTTATAGGCAAATTAGCTCGACTGCTGTAACTTTGTTCTTACCCGAAAGCACTTGGAGAGTAGTGAGTCATCAACATTTTACTTGGAATACCACTAGAAAGTGTTATTTGGCTGGTAGTAAGTTAGTCTCCATCACTTGTCACTTCAATAGTAAGAACGTGGCTTGCATTTTGGCTGAGAAGGCTTCAATTTGCCTCTGGGCTTGGTGTTGGGCTTCGAGCAAATCCCCTTTTAGTTAGCATATTTGGGCTTTCCTTTATCTTGGTCCAATGTTCAAATATTTACCCAAACAATGTTACTAATGATTTTTTTCATCAGATTTTTGGGGAAAAGGTCTAGTTGGGCTAGATTCCCTTCTCCCTCTTGTAGCTTAGGCAACTTAAACCCTCAACATAGTTGAGTAATATAAGAGAAAATATTTTCTCATATTGTTTTCTAATTTATTATACTCAAATCTCATGTATAAATTAATATTTTTCGATATGACGATGTCTTGTAAATATTTTCCCGTGGTGTGGGATTGAGGAGGTGCCTCTGTTGTTTCATGGCGTAACAACATTGCTTATGAAATTGTATGCAAGTATTGTTAAAAGGTTGGTTCGATGAGATTAAGATGATCTGAAACATTGTCACTAATCGCTGTTAGTGAATTTGCAATCCCTGACTGCGATTATTGTAGTTGGTCTTCTTTTTAGTTTTATTGTTGTAAATTTGAGATCTTATTTACAGTTTCCTGCCAAGATGTTTTACATCACCTTCTACTCAAAGTCGAATTTGAATCATATTATTGCTAGTTCATTGTGAGGCTTAGCCCATTCTCCCACCAACTTAGTGTAATAATATCGTTTGTTCAAAAAAATTATACTAGTGAAATTAATCATTTGATTTTACCTGTTTTAATGAATTCAAATAAAACCATTATCTATTTTACTCATAGAATCCGTCAAACAATTTGATGATGATAAAGGTTAGACAAAATCATTCCTATTTTTAACATGATTTACTAATTAATGGTTGGTGAAGATACTATTAGGAGACAATCTGATAACATAACGTAAAATAAGAAAAGATTAAAAGTTCATAAAAATAGACAGATTCTGAAATTCATTCCACAAAACTGCTCAGCTCTTTTATTTAAATCTAAATTAATCTTTCTCCAAACATCTTTCATTCGAACAAGCAACTTGGGAGGAGAGTGGCTTGAAAGGAAACTCAGTTTTCGAAGCATAGGCAAAATTGAAAATTTTATTTCCATAGATTGGTTGACCATTATTGACCAAACACTCGCCACCAGATTTTGACAAAATTGAAGGATCAACTGCAGACTGATCAAATCCATCGCAACTAAGCTTCACATCCAGTTGAGAACATGGACAGTCATTAGTAATTGTTACATTCCACTTGTCATCGCTAATCTTCCCTTGTGCAATTTCAAGATTGTCTAACGTGCAGGGTTGGCAATTTCCTGCAATAATCGAATATGTAAAGTTGGTAAACTACTATATTGACAATAAAATACTATACACTAATTCTTCTAAACTGCGGGGAGGGATTTGAACTCATAACATATAGTGAGTTGAAGAGAAAAACTTAAAAAAGAATGTCAGGGAAAATTATATAAATTGTTATTACCACCAAGTATTTTATATAAAAAGTAAAAAATAAGATGCAAGATGCATAAGCTAAAAGTTAACTAGATCATTTGTTAAGCAAGACTACAAGGAATAGTAACATTGGATAAAAAAAGGGTAAAACTTTACCTCCTACAATGAGACTGCAAACGAAAACCAAGCAGAGAAAGTTCACGAATCTAGATGCCATTGGATTGGAGACAGAAACCAGAATTTTGTTTTGCTCTTGGCGGCCCTTGTTATTTGATGTAAAAGTTAGAGAAATCTAACCCAATTTATAAGGGCTTATAGGGAAACGAAAAATCTATAGATATCAATGCATTAATACTTGAAATCTTTCGTGATCAATGAATATTTAAAATATTTGAACGAGAAGGTAAATGTAGAAGGGTGTATTTAACTGAGATTTTGAAGGAATTTAAGATATATAAACTATAGATTTTGATTGAGTTTAATTGATTTATAAAGTTTTCATATAAAATTTTGATTCAATTCCCTCAAAATATCAGGGTGAGAGATGAGATTTGTGAATGCTTAAAATACACTCAAAATTTCTCCAATTCCTCAAAGTCATCAACTTTTCAAAATTCTTTAAAATAAATTCCTAATTGAATACACATTAAATGTTATATACTTTTTAAAATTCTAATTAAATACACCCGATTTCTAAGGATTATCATAAATCATCTTAAAATCATGTTGGATACAGGTTGAATTTGAAAGAATAACTTAAAATCCTAATTAAATACCCATAGATTCATTAAAAGAATTAAAATCCTCTAAAATGTTAATTGAATTGGCAATAGAGAAAAATGAATCTTGCCAATACACTCAACGGAAGGATAAAGTCAAGGCCCCACATTAAAATAATAATTAACACTATGTTTGGATAAAGAAATTTAAGATTACTAAAGAATTTTAAAATGACGGAAATTGAAATGACAAGATTTTATTTTCTAGAATTTGTAAATTTTCTTGTTTGGTTAACCTGAAAGAACAATGGAATTGAATACGGAATTTGTTATTTTTAAACTCTCAATCATAGAAATTGGGAAATGACACCTATTTACATGGACTTTGAACTTGGGAATTGGAGGTCCCAAATTCCAAATTATTTTTCCACGCGGAAATTCTAAATTTCTATGTTTATGAATCTAAACAAGAGAATTTGTGCATGTCAATTTATAAATTCTAATTTTTACCAAAATTTCAAGTGGAATTTATTTGTGTAAAACGAAATTGAAGGAATGCATAAATTTAAATGATTATTTGCACTTTTAAAAAATTTAATTAACAGTGTTACTTTGTATAGTCTTTTTCGAATACACTGTAATCATGTAACCAAGGTACTCACTCCACTCCTTATGTTCGACCTATCCCAAGCCTTGGATCTCGAGCGTAGATCTTGGACTCGAGACCGAAACCCAGGACTTCGAAACCGAAGTGATCCAAACCCAAGCCCTAATTCCATCTTTTGAGGCATAAACTAGGGGTGGGTTGGAAAAACCGAAAACCGAAAAAAACCGGACCGAAAACCGAACCGAGGCCGAAAAAACCAAACCGAAAAAAAAAACCGAACCGAATCTGTTGAACCGAACCGAACCGAATCTGGTTGGTTCGGTTTCGGTTTCTGGGGTTCGAAAACCGAACCGAACCGAACATCTTCAAAACGACGTCGTTTTATAATATTTTATTAATTAATAACCCTAATTCTAAAACGGCACCGTTTTATTCCTAAACTAAAACTGCAAGTTGCAACCCGTAAGTAACCAACCCTAGCCCTCCTGCTCTCGGTCTCTCTCCTGTTTTCCCACTCCCATGCCCTCCCTAGTTCGTAGTCGCATTAGCCTCCGTCATCTGTCTCTTTCTTTCACAGCAGCAAGCAGCAGCCTCCGTCCGTCATCTGTCTCTCTCTCTCACAGCAGCAAGCAGCCTCTCTTTGTTTCTCTCATTCCCCCTTGCAGCAGCCTTACCTCATCAGTCTCTCTCGCAGCAGCATCCTCTCTCTCTGTCTCTCTCGCAGCAGCATCCTTATCTGTCTCACGGCAGCGACGACTTCTTACTCTCAAATCTCAATCACAGCAAAAGGTTAGTTTCACATTTAATTTTCAGTTCTACTTATACAGTTTTAGAGATTTGATTTGTATTTTAGTGAATATATTGATTGAGTTGTAATAACAGATTGGGTGTTTTTATGCTTCATAAAGTAATTGAATTGAGTTCCCACGATTGATTGTGCTTCAGATTGGGTATTTTTATACTTCATAAAGTAATTGAATTGAGTTCCCACGATTGATTGTTCTTCAGATTGGGTATTTTTATGCGTCGGAATGTCACTAGGGCACATTACATTGTTCTTCAGATAGGGTATTTTTATGCAAACTGTACCGTGTGGATGATATAACAAACATAGGTCATATTAATTAGTTAGGAAATAGGAAGGATAGATTATCCGTGTGTTTGCACACAAGTTTAATTTATCCGTGTGGCTGCAGGTTATATAAATATATATATATAATGGCTGCAGGTTGTGTATGTGTGATTCAGTTTTTATTATACATATATATATATATATATATATATATTGGCTGCAGGTTGTATATATATAATGGCTGCAAGTTGTGTATGTGTGTTTGAAACAATATCCCTAATGAAGGGAGTTTGGTTGCAGGTTATATATATATATATATATATATATATATATATATATATATATATATATATAATGGCTGCAGGTTGTGTATGTGTGATTCAGTTTTTATTATACATATATATATATATATATTGGCTGCAGGTTGTATATATATAATGGCTACAAGTTGTGTATGTGTGTTTGAAACAATATCCCTAATGAAGAGAGTTTGGCTGCAGGTTATATATATATATATATATAATGGCTGCAGGTTGTGTATGTGTGATTCAGTTTTTATTATACATCTACATATATATATATATATATATATATATTGGCTGCAGGTCGTCTATATATAATGGCTGCAAGTTGTGTATGTGTGTGTTTGAAACAATATCCCTAATGAAGGAAGTTTGGCTGCAGGTTATATATATATATATATGTATATATTGTGAAGGGAGTTTGATTCTTGCCTTCCATATTTTGTCTTGATTTTGTATCATTGGCCTTTCATATTTTAATTAACATTTACTTTTGTATAAGTTTGTAGTACAAACTACTATCCTCTTATTATTTTGTTTGAATTAGATGAAGTCAAAGGCGTCAAAGGTCTCAAGGGCCTCAAGCTCAAGTTCAAACTCAATGAGATCAAAATCAACTAGCCCTCATGATCAAACGAACTCATCTTCGAGTATACCATCGGAAGTAAGTACTAAGTAGTCATATCTTTCTATTACCTTAGCCCTTTGTTCAATAATTAATTCATTAATTGTAATGATAAGAGTGAGTAACCAACCATAGCAAAAACCTACCATACCCATCTTATTTGAATAATTAATTGTATGATTCTCTTATTTTAGATGGACATTGTTGGTGAATCAACTCCGCCTCAAAACGCCGTGGTGGCACCTCAACAAACCCCTACTTCTCTTGGTGGATCTGGAAATCCCTCCGATGCAACTCCAAAAGAAGGTGACGCAAATGACCAAGTAAGTAAAGAAGAAGCTCTTTTGGAATCATTAAAAAGTCATGAAAGATCTTCAGTTTGGGAGCACTTTGATAGAAAAATTGAGGGTGGTAGAGTTAAGGGGTTGTGCAAGTATTGTGCCCAATCATATATGGCCGATCTGGATAAAAATGGTACAACTAATTTAAGAAACCATTTAGCAAGATGTAGAAGCTACGGTCCTAATAAGGAAATATTTGCCGCAAATAGGCAAAAGATCTTAACCTTTGCCGGCACGAAAGATAAGTTGGAAGCTATAGGTTTTTCTCAAGAGGAAGTAACTAAGGCTTGTGTTGAGATGATAATTATAGATGAGTTGCCTTTTACTTTTGTTGAGGGAGAAGGTTTTCGCCGTTTTTGCATGCAAGCATGTCCTATGTGGAGAGTGCCTAGTCGTAAGACAATTGCTAAGGATGTACTTAGCTTGTTTTATTCCGAAAGGGATAAATTGAAGAGTCAATTGAAGACATTTAGGGTGTGTCTAACAACGGATACATGGACTTCTATTCAACAAACCAATTAAATGGTTCTCACCGCCCATTTTATTGATGATGATTGGATATTACATAAAAAGATTTTGAACTTTTGTGTCATTCCAAATCATAAAGGAGAGTCCATTGCTCAACTTTTGGAGGAATGTTTAGTGGAGTGGGGTATAGAGAAGGTGTTAACTATTACGGTTGACAATGCTTCCGCAAATGATTCCGGTTTAAGGGACTTGGTGCACCGAATAAGGGGGTGGGGATTCCTAATGCACTCTTGCATGATGGAAAATATTTGCATATGAGATGTGTTTTGCTCATTTCCTCTCGGGTGAGCTAGTTGGAAATACAGTTCAAGCAGCAAAGTCTCCATTTATGCCGCCAACGTTGCAGAACATTCAAAAACATTGTGCAATCTCTTAAAGAAGTGATGGCCAAACAAAGAGAGACTCTAAAATCCACAAACTATAATAAGCGAAAGATTTGGATCCTCAGGAACTAAGGAGGTACTCCTCCTTAAAATACTTTGTGATCTACTTACAGAATATTGTATATGATCGGAGATGTTTTATATTATAAATCACTATGCAAATGATCATCTCTAACGAGGAAAAAAAGTTATTCATAATAAAATGCACACAAACAAACCTACTTGCTCCTAAAGCTACCAAAACAAACCTTTATTTTGGTCATCCCACACGTGCCGAAGGAAGAATTCACACGTACCGCCAAAACTGCAGTGTTTTTTCCAACACTATTTATTGGCTTCATGGCGACCGGTCATTTGATTCAGTTTCCAACTTGTAGTTGTCCATCCACTTATCCATCCATCCCCCAAAAAGACAAATTAAAAGACCCCTCAAATTCCCAAACCATAAAAAATAAAAGTTGGAAGCAAAAATTGTGAATGAATGATTCGATGTGAGCCAGAGCCACCAGACCCACCCGCTACCGCGTGAAGGGCCGTCTCCCGTCGTTTTCTCCGCCTCCTAAAACGACGAGACACTTCACTTCTACCGTCTGATCCATCCCCAGCCCGGCAAAAAATAATGTTGGGTATCCAGGCCCTC